GTTTCCATGGTGACAAAAAAGATTGAAGATCGTCTGAAAACTCAAGTAAAAATACAAAAAGTGCAGCAGGTTCGTGTTTCTGTTCTGAGTTTTTCAGGTCACGTTTGACTTTAGTCTGAGTTTTATTTTGCCGGAGCTGCAGACAGAGCAGTGCCTCCAGTTAGCCACACCCCCCAGTGACCTGAGCGACCTGAGCGACCCGAGCGACCCGAGCTGCAGAGTATCAGTAGGTTTTAAATTTCCGAGTGGGTTTACAGTGTCACTTTGATTTAAAGCCGCGCTCCGGGACTTTTCTGACAGAGGGTGATGCCTGCTGGTCTCCATGACGATGTTTTTGCTTTGTAGTGTTGTCACGATTCTCAAATGTCAAACTTTATTTGGAAACTAAGGAACAGACTCGATACTCGATACTCGATACGATTCTGATCCACAATGAAAATCAGACGCTTTTTCTTTAGTCGATATTAAACTGTGATTTTCCACAATAAACGACAAAACTTTATTTTCTCTTCACACGTGTCTTTAAATCTATTTAGTTCTGGTTTAGTCCTGGTTTAGTCCTGGTTTAGTCCTGGTTTAGTCCTGGTTTAGACCTGGTTTAGAACCTGGTTTAGACCTGGTTTAGTCCTGGTTTAGACCTGGTTTAGACCTGGTTTAGACCTGTTTAGACCTCCTGGTTTGTCCTGGTTTAAACCTGTTTAGTCCTGGTTTTCCTGGTTTAAACCTGGTTTAGTCCTGGTTTAGTCCTGGTTTAGTCCTGGTTTAGACCTGGTTTAGTCCTGGTTTAGTCCTGGTTTAAACCTGGTTTAGACCTGGTTTAGTCCTGGTTTAGTCCTGGTTTAGTCCTGGTTTAGTTCCTGGTTTACCTGGTTAGTCCTGGTTAGTGGTTTTAGACCTGGTTTAGACCTGGTTTAGACCTGGTTTAGTCCTGGTTTAGTCCTGGTTTAGTCCTGGTTTAGTCCTGGTTTAGTCCTGGTTTAGACCTGGTTTAGTCCTGGTTTAGTCCTGGTTTAGACCTGGTAAACCTGGTTTAGAGTCTGGTTTAACCTGGTTTAGACCTGTTTAGTCCTGGTTTAAACCTGGTTTAGTCCTGGTTTTGGTTTAGTCCTGGTTTAGACCTGGTTTAGACCTGGTTTAGTCCTGGTTTAAACCTGGTTTAGACCTGGTTTAGACCTGGTTTAGTCCTGGTTTAGTCCTGGTTTAAACCTGGTTTAGTCCTGGTTTTGTCCTGGTTTAGACCTGGTTTTGTCCTGGTTTAAACCTGGTTTAGTCCTGGTTTAGTCCTGGTTTAGACCTGGTTTAGTCCTGGTTTAAACCTGGTTTAGACCTGGTTTAGTCCTGGTTTAGTCCTGGTTTAAACCTGGTTTAGTCCTGGTTTAGACCTGGTTTAGTCCTGGTTTAGTCCTGGTTTAGACCTGGTTTAGTCCTGGTTTTAGTCCTGGTTTAGACCTGGTTTAGACCTGGTTTAGTCCTGGTTTAGACCTGGTTTAGTCCTGGTTTAAACCTGGTTTAGACCTGGTTTAGTCCTGGTTTAGACCTGGTTTAGACCTGGTTTAGACCTGGTTTAAACCTGGTTTAAACCTGGTTTAGTCCTGGTTTAGTCCTGGTTTAGACCTGGTTTTAGTCCTGGTTTAGTCCTGGTTTAAACCTGGTTTAGACCTGGTTTAGTCCTGGTTTAGTCCTGGTTTAACCTGGTTTAGTCCTGGTTTAGTCCTGGTTTATCTGGTTTAGTCCTGGTTTAGTCCTGGTTTACACCTGGTTTAGTCCTGGTTTAGTCCTGGTTTAGACCTGGTTTAGACCTGGTTTAGTCCTGGTTTAAACCTGGTTTAGTCCTGGTTTAGTCCTGGTTTAGTCCTAGTTTAGACCTGGTTTAGTCCTGGTTTAGTCCTGGTTTACACCTGGTTTAGTCCTGGTTTAGACCTGGTTTAGTCCTGGTTTAGTCCTGGTTTAGTCCTGGTTTAGACCTGGTTTAGTCCTGGTTTAAACCTGGTTTAGTCCTGGTTTAGTCCTGGTTTAAACCTGGTTTAGTCCTGGTTTATATCTGGTTTAGTCCTGGTTTAGTCCTGGTTTACACCTGGTTTAGTCCTGGTTTAGTCCTGGTTTAGTCCTAGTTTAGACATGGTTTAGTCCTGGTTTAGTCCTGGTTTACACCTGGTTTAGTCCTGGTTTAGTCCTGGTTTACATCTGGTTTAGTCCTGGTTTAGTCCTGGTTTTAGTCTGGTTTAGTCCTGGTTTAGTCCTGGTTTAGTCCTGGTTTAGTCCTGTGTTTTAGTCCTGGTTTACACCTGGTTTAGTCCTGGTTTAGACCTGGTTTAGTCCTGGTTTAGTCCTGGTTTAATCCTGGTTTAGTCCTGGTTCAGTTTTTATGATTCACATTTGCAATATTGAACTGAAAGAAAATATAAAAATAAAAAAACAATCACATTAAACATAAAGAATGAACAAAATGAGCAGAAATCCTGCAGTTTAAGTCAATATTAAACAAAACGGCAATAAATATTTTAGTCATGAAAATATGACAACAGTTACTGGGTTCAGAGCCTCTGAGCTCTTGGATTTGTTCTAAACACATTTATGAAACATTTTGTTCTGAAAATTTGATTTTTTAGGATCCAGAACTGAGAAACATGAGGAGCTAGTTTAATTTCTAGTTTTAATATCGATTAGAATCAGATTTGTATTATTTCTACAGTCCTGTTGTTTCATCTGGAATGTTCCGTCAAACCCCTGACGTAACCGCTCCAAGGTACAGGTCAGATCTGTGGAGAGGCGAGCTCGCTCACAGGACAGATGAGTTTATCGAAGACGATGGAAACGTGAGGACGGAGACTAACAGAGCAGCGTCTTCACATCCTGCTGAAGGTTTCCACAGGGGACGGGGGTCGGGTCAGCTCAGGTCAGGTCAGCTCAGGTCTTCAAGTCACTGAGAGACGACGAATAGAACAGAATCTACTCTGATGTTTTTATTTGTATTAAGTTTGATAAATTATAATACAGAAAAAAAAAAATAGGCAATTTATAAAAGGAGAAAAGAAGAGGTGGACAGTGGGGTGGACAGTGGACGGTGGAATGGTCAGTGGACAGTGGACAGTGGACAGTGGACGGTGGAATGGTCAGTGGACAGTGGACAGTGGAGTGGACAGTGGACAGTGGACTGGACAGTGGAGTGGACAGTGGACAGTGGGGTGGACAGTGGACGGTGGAATGGTCAGTGGACAGTGGACAGTGGAGTGGACAGTGGACAGTGGACAGTGGACAGTGGACAGTGGACAGTGGAGTGGACAGTGGACAGTGGGGTGGACAGTGGACGGTGGAATGGTCAGTGGACAGTGGACTGGACAGTGGAGTGGACAGTGGACAGTGGACAGTGGACAGTGGACAGTGGAAAGTGGACTGGACAGTGGACAGTGGACAGTGGAAGTGGACAGTGGACAGTGGACAGTGGACAGTGGAGTGGACAGTGGACTGGACAGTGGACAGTGGACGGTGGACAGTGGACAGTGGACTGGAGTGGACAGTGGACTGGACAGTGGACAGTGGACTGGACAGTGGACAGTGGACGGTGGACAGTGGAGTGGACAGTGGAGTGGACAGTGGACAGTGGACAGTGGACGGTGGACAGTGGACAGTGGACAGTGGACAGTGGACAGTGGAGTGGACAGTGGACAGTGGACAGTGGAGTGGGTGGACATTGGGGTGGACAGTGGACGTGGACAGTGGAGTGGACGGTGGACAGTGGACGGTGGACAGTGGAGTGGACAGTGGACGGTGGACAGTGGACAGTGGAGTGGACAGTGGACAGTGGGGTGGACGGTGGACAGTGGACAGTGGACTGGACAGTGGACAGTGGACAGTGGAGTGGACAGTGGAGTGGACAGTGGACAGTGGAGTGGACAGTGGACAGTGGGGTGGACAGTGGACAGTGGAGTGGACAGTGGACAGTGGACGTGGACAGTGGACAGTGGACAGTGGAGTGGACAGTGGACAAGTGGACAGTGGACAGTGGACAGTGGACAGTGGACAGTGGACGGTGGACAGTGGACAGTGGAGTGGACGGTGGACAGTGGACAGTGGACGGTGGACAGTGGACAGTGGACAGTGGACAGTGGAGTGGACAGTGGACAGTGGACAGTGGACAGTGAGTGATTAAAGTTGGAGTTGGTTCAGTTCAGTTTGACTCAGACTCTTGAGTTTAAATCAAACTGATTTGTTCTGCTGTCGTTTCCTCGTCACAAACACAAACTCAGACCTGGACTTGTGTTTGTTTCATTCACATGTTTAACACAAACCTGCACATTTCCAGTTTTCTCTCTTAGTTACTTCCTCAGGAAAGTAACTTCGTTAAATTACTTTGGAATTACATTTGATAAATTAAACAGATCTGTGATTTTGTGTTTTATGAACAGACGTTTAGAGAGAAACTGAGTCGAGAGTCTGAGACTCGACTGCAGCTGCACAACAGCAGAGTCACTCAGCGTTTGTGAGGAACTGTTCTTCTGTGTTTTAGTTTGTGTATTTTTCACAGCTCAGACTTAAACTGAGACACTTAAACCTGAGGATTTGTCTCAGTTACAGACGACACTTCCTGGTTCACTGTTCAGTTCTTCTGCCTGAGACCAGAGTTTGTGATCAGAACATGAAACACGACGGAAGAAAAACTTCTGTTCTGTTTCTTCCTCATCTGCTGCTGCACACGTCTCTGTCCTCTTCCTCTCGTCCTTTCAGGTTTTCCTGGAGTCGTCCTCTGCCCAGACACACACCGACGCTCCCCAAAGATCAACGACCCGAGTCTGGAAGAAAAACACCAGGTCCAAACATCTCCACCACAGAACATCTGAGAACATCTGAGAACATCTGAGAACATCTGAGAACATCTGAGAACATCTGAGATCTCCTCCTGTGTCCACCATGTTCTGTAAATATGAACCGTAGAGTAAAGCTCCTCAACCTTCAGCTCCACAGACCAGTTTTATGGCACGGCCTGGTTTACTCCTGGTTTAGTCCTGGTTTAGTTCTGGTTTAGTCCTGGTTTAGTTCTGGTTTAGTTCTGGTTTAGTCCTGGTTTAGTCCTGGTTCAGTCCTGGTTTAGTCCTGGTTCAGTCCTGGTTTAGTCCTGGTTTAGTCTGGTTAGTCCTGGTTTAGTCCTGGTTTAGTTCTGGTTTAGTTCTGGTTTTAGTTCTGGTTTAGTTCTGGTTTAGTCTGGTTTAGTCTGGTTTAGTTCTGGTTTAGTCCTGGTTTAGTCCTGGTTTAGTCCTGGTTCAGTCCTGGTTTAGTCCTGGTTCAGTCCTGGTTTAGTTCTGGTTTAGTCCTGGTTTAGTCCTGGTTCAGTCCTGGTTTAGTCCTGGTTCAGTCCTGGTTCAGTCCTGGTTCAGTCCTGGTTTAGTCCTGGTTCAGTCCTGGTTCAGTCCTGGTTCAGTCCTGGTTCAGTCCTGGTTTAGTCCTGGTTTCAGTCCTGGTTCAGTCCTGGTTCAGTCCTGGTTTAGTCCTGGTTTAGTCCTGGTTTAGTCCTGGTTTAGTCCTGGTTCAGTCCTGGTTCTTCTTCTCTGGTGCCAGTCATGACTCAGCAGAAGTGCTTGGAGCAGGACAAAGACGTGGGCACCGGGCCGACGAGAACCAGGAGACGTGCCCACAACAGCCCCTTTCTCTCCGCCGCTCAGACCGGCTCTTTGTCCCCCCCCCCCCCCCCCCCGCGGCCTCTGCCCAACGCTGTGCCCCCCCCCCCCCCCCCGCTCTCTGTGCCAACCCCACAGAAGGCAGCTGGCACGGGGATGCTGACCTACTTTCCTTCCGTCCCGTTTGGTAAGAGGCAGAGGGACCTCGCCGACCCGGGACAGTCCAGTTTGGGTCGGCTCTGGCAGGACCGCACCTGTCTGCGAGGATGGGCCCCTGATGGACTCGGACCCGGGAGAGGAGCCTGATTTTTGGGCGTGGATGGCGGCGCGGGGCTCGGTGCTCGCGGTGCGAAAGTGCCTCGCCTGCCTGGAGTTTATGTGTGAGTAACACGACCAGGACCAGGACCAGAAGCAGGACCAGGACCAGGACCAGGACCAGGACCAGGACCAGGACCAGAACCAGGACCAGAAGCAGGACCAGGACCAGGACCAGACTCTCTAAAGGGTTTAGGTTTTATGTTCTGTGGAGATGAACAAAACTGTGAATATTTTACTTTTAATTCTTTTAAACGACTTGACAAGACTTGAGTTGAGTCGAGTTTGGAGATTCCACAACTGAGATGTTCCAGATGTGTGGAGTTTAAAAACACAGTGGAGCTCTTCACTCCATTCATTCAGTCGTTTTTTAAAATAAAACCAAAAATAAGAAAATTTAAAAGTGGTTTTCTTCATTAATTTTCTCCAAAACCAAAATGAAAAAACAGATCATGGTTTTCAAGTTTGTGTTTAAATGAAAAATGTAAAAAAACAAATAACGAACTAAACCAGGACTGAACCAGGACTAAACCAGGACTAAACCAGGACTTAACCAGGACTAAACCAGGACTAAACCAGGACTAAACCAGACTGAAACCAGAAAACTAAACCAGGACTAAACCAGGACTAAACAGGACTAGGACTGAAACCAGGACTAAACCAGGACTAAACCAGGACTAAACCAGGACTAAAACCAGGACTAAACCAGGACTAAACCAGGACTAAACCAGGACTAAACCAGGACTAAACCAGGACTAAACCAGGAACCAGTAAACCAGGACTAACCAGAGACTAAACCAGGACTGAACCAGGAACTAAACCAGGACTAAACCAGGACTAAACCACTAAACCAGGACTAAACCAGGACTAAACCAGGACTAAACCAGGACTGAAACCAGGACTAAACCAGGACTAAACCAGGACTAAACAGGACTAAACCAGGAAAAAAAACCAGGACTAAACCAGGACTAACCAGGACTAAACCAGACTAAACCAGACTAACCAGGACTAAACCAGAACTAAACCAGAACTAAACCAGGACTAAACCAGGACTAAACCAAGGACTGAACCAGGACTAAACAGGACTAAAAAACTAAACAGGACTAAACCAGGACTAAACCAGGACTGAACCAGGACTAAACCAGGATAAACCAGGACTGACCAGGACTAACAGGACTAAACCAGGACTAACCAGACTAAACCAGGACTGAACCAGGACTAAACCAGGACTAAACCAGGTCTAAACCAGGACTGAACCAGGACTAAACCAGGACTAAAACCAGGACTAAACCAGAACTAAACCAGAACTAACTAAACCAGGACTAAACCAGGACTGAACCAGGACTAAACCAGGACTAAACCAGGACTAACCAGGACTAAACCAGGACTAAACCAGGACTAAACCAGAATTAACCAGAACTAAACCAGGACTAAACCAGGACTAAACCAGGACTAAACCAGGACTAAACCAGAATTAACCAGAACTAAACCAGGACTAAACCAGGACTAAACCAGGACTAAACCAGGACTAAACCAGGACTAAACCAGGTCTAAACCAGGTCTAAACCAGCCAGAACCAGGACTAACCAGGACTAAACCAGGACTAAACCAGACTAAACCAGAACTAAACCAGGACTAAACCAGAACTAAACCAGAACTAAACCAGAACTAAAACCAGGACTAAACCAGAACTAAACCAGGACTAAACCAGGACTAAACCAGGACTAAACCAGGACTAACCAGAACTAAACCAGGACTGAACCAGGACTAAACCAGGACTGAACCAAAGTACTGCGATACTCAAAAGTACTGCAGTAATATACAGTATTTCCAGTACTATACAGTCAAACAGAGGGAACTACAGACGACACGATCTCTATTTTAGTGCAAACACACGACAAAATATGTTTTGAAACACTTTTAAATCTGATATGATTCAAACTCAATGATCATTTCTCCAACTCTTCAGTCTGAATATAAAAATACTCTGACTTTACAAGAACAATTTAGTTTAAAATTCACATAAATTGCAAAAATCTAAACTATATTTGGTATTTTTTGGTTTAAAGGCTTGAAATGACTTAAAGCTCAAAGCAGACGACTTGGACTTGACTTGGACTTGACTTGGACTCGACTTGGACTCGACTTGGACTCGACTTGGACTTGACTTGGACTTGAGGTCAAAGACTTGAGACTTGTAAAAGTTGGACGTGGACACAGGAGACCAAAACTCTGTCATATAATGAATCAAATACAAATAGAAATACTTTTTTAATTGAGAAAATCAACAAAATACAAGATGCAGACGAGTTATTTCCCAAAACGTTGTAAAAAAGAACTCGGCCATGACACTTTTGAGGACTGCCTCACGGTTGGGGGGGGGGGGGGTTGGTTCTTTTTCTTTTTTTCTTTTTTTTATATTTTCTTTTTCTCTCGTTTTGATGAAAAGGTAAACAACACAAAACAGTGAACATGACGTAGAGACAAAACAAATTTGACAAACTGCATCCAATGTTTTTATATCACATTTAAATTTCAATCATATTTCAATAATATTACAGCATCAGTTCCATTTACTCTGAAGTTTGTCAAAGACGTTCATTTTCAAATCAAGTCCAAATGTGATTTTTTCCATTTTCTTCTTTTCATTTATCATTTCTGACGAGTCTTTGATCGATGGATCAGTTTGTGTCGTCCAGTTTTTTGTAATCGTCTTTTTTCCTGCCACCAGAAGAAAGTTCCAGAGACGATCCACTTGTGTCCACGGCAGAAGGATCTGGTTTCAGTCCCACAGTTTGTTTTGGTCCTGACAGTTTGATCTGCTCCTCCTCCTCTTCCTCAGACTCTTCCTCAGACTCGTCCTCCTCCTCTCCTCCTCCTCCTCTTCCTCAGACTCTTGCTCAGAGTCTTCCCCAGACTCGTCCTCAGACTCGTCCTCCTCCTCTTCCTCAGACTCGTCCTCAGACTCGTCCTCTCTTCTCCTCTTCCTCTCAGACTCGTCCTCCTCCTCTTCCTCAGACTCGTCCTCCTCCTCTTCCTCAGACTCGTCCTCCTCCTCTCTCAGACTCGTCCTCAGACTCGTCCTCCTCCTCTTCCTCAGACTCGTCCTCAGACTCTTCCTCAGACTCGTCCTCAGACTCGTCCTCCTCCTCTTCCTCAGACTCGTCCTCAGACTCGTCCTCCTCCTCTTCCTCAGACTCGTCCTCCTCCTCTCGTCCAGACTCGTCCTCCTCCTCTTCCTCAGACTCGTCCTCTCTCCTCTTCCTCAGACTCGTCCTCAGACTCGTCCTCCTCCTCTTCCTCAGACTCGTCCTCAGACTCGTCCTCCAGACTCGTCCTCAGACTCGTCCTCCTCCCTCCTCTCCTCCTCAGACTCGTCCTCAGACTCGTCCCCAGACTCGTCCTCAGACTCGTCCTCAGACTCGTCCTCAGACTCGTCCCCAGACTCGTCCTCAGACTCGTCCCCAGACTCGTCCTCAGACTCGTCTCAGACTCCTCCTCTCTCCTCTCAGACTCTTGCTCAGAGTCTTCCCCAGACTCGTCCTCAGACTCGTCCTCAGACTCGTCCTCAGACTCGTCCTCAGACTCGTCCTCCTCCTCTTCCTCAGACTCGTCCTCAGACTCGTCCTCAGACTCGTCCTCCTCCTCGTCCTCAGACTCGTCCTCCTCCTCTTGCTCAGACTCGTCCTCAGACTCGTCCTCAGACTCGTCCCTCAGACTCGTCCTCCTCCTCTTCCTCAGACTCGTCCTCCTCCTCGTCCTCAGACTCGTCCTCAGACTCGTCCCCAGACTCGTCCTCAGACTCGTCCTCAGACTCGTCCTCAGACTCGTCCTCAGAGTCTGGTGATGTTTCTGTGTCGTCTCTCTCAGATAACGTAAACAGGTTTTGTCTGTGTCTTCCTCTCGGTGGAGGCAGGACGACAGCGCCACCTGCAGTCGCACTTCCTCAGGACTTTATCCCAGGTGTGTGAGAGTAAAAAAGCCCCTTGTCCCGGTTTATCGTCCCGTGGGCAGGTTTGTTTTTCGATTTCCTCTCGATGTTTGTTTTCCTCTGTCCCGGTTCTGAAAACGGTTTGATTTGTTCCTGTTTGTTTTTTGTTTCGTTTCCTTCATGTTTCTTTTCTCGGGGACTGAACTTCGCTGTTTCCCCCGTGTTTGTTTTACTTCAGGATCTGCAGGTGTTTCCTTTATGACGTCACATTTATGTTCTGGTTCTGTTTTATCTTTTGGGTCGATGAGTAGTTCCCTGAGTTTTTGGGGTTTTGAGGTTTTTGGGTCTTTTTCCTCTCACACTCCTGGATTGTGTCGTGAGGAAGTGCGTCTGCAGGTGGCGCTGTCGTCCTGCCTCCACCGAGACCAAGACACACACAAAACCTTTAAATCAACTGAGCTCTTTTTGTAAACTCTGGTCCAAAGCTGAAAAATGATCTGACGGAGACTTTTTTGCCAAAACGTTATTTAAAAATTAAAAAAGCTTCTGGACATCGGCCGTTTTTTCACTTTTATTTTACTCTTTACATTTGCACCTCGACAAAAACCTTGGTGTGTGTTTTCTGTTTTATTTAAACCAACTGAGCGACACGACAGAAACATCACCAGACGAAGAAAAAGACTCTGAGGAAGAGGAGCAGGAGCAGAACAAACTCAGGGGCTGAAAAAAGACAGTCTGATTCATCTGCCAGTTTCACTTGGTGGAAACCGTGTGACCTGCAGCTTTAGGATTCGTTCACTTGACAGTAGACGGGGACTTTTTTTATTGAACCAGTCGCTGCTGTTTGGTCGTGACGTTTGTAAAGCTTCAAATCCTGGAGGAAGAAGAACAAGAACGACTTTCCCCGAGATCAAACTCACCAAACCTTCTCTTTGTTCCGACTTTAAATCCTCGATCTCGAGAATCGTCGCCAACACAGAACGTCTGACTGAACTCGACACTTCTGGGGTTTTTGTAAATCGTTGAGTGTTTTTGATTCCTGCTTTGGATCTGGAGAGAAATGAAACTGAGCGGAGACACTAGGGGGCGCCAGACTGGATAGAAAAAAGAACCAAAGAACAGAAACAATCAGAAGAAGAAAATTGAACCTCATTGGGTCATAAAATAGTTTCTTGTGGTTACAGCAGATTCAGAAACACGAGTCTGAGTCTGAGTCTGAGTCTGGCCACAGACCAACTGCCCCCACAGCCGCTGTCCAGGAATCTGCCCTCGAGTATCTGCCCTCGCTGACCTTCTCTGGAGTATCTGCCCTCACACTCGCTGACCTCCAGATCCACGGTGGCGACGCACATGAGTAAAAACCGTCCAAAGCGTCACCTGTCGTCTCTCAGGTCACGTCGTTGTTTCTCGTCAGATTGTGGGGAAAAAAAAACCCTCAGATGAACTGAACTGGAGTCAGAGAGTTTCAGACGGAGCAGTGCTTCTGTTAGCGTCACAGCGCCGGGGGAGTGTGGACGACGTCAGCTCAGTCACATGATCATCTCATCGGCCGTTTTTGAAGTGGCGTCTGGAGCTTTGGAGATCTGTGTCCGTCTGAAGAGCGCGAGGAGAAACGTCTGAGGAGCGCGAGGAGAAACGTCTGAGGAGCGCGAGGAGAAACGTCTGAGGAGCGCGAGGAGAAACGTCTGAGGAGAGGAGAAACGTCTGAGGAGCGCGAGGAGAAACGTCTGAGGAGCGCGAGGAGAAACGTCTGAGGAGCGCGAGGAGAAACGTCTGAGGAGCGCGAGGAGAAACGTCTGAGGAGCGAGAGGAGAAACGTCGAGGAGAAAACGTCTGAGTCTGAGGAGCGCGAGGAGAAACGTCTGAGGAGCGAGAGGAGAAACGTCCTGACACGTCTGAAGCTCCAGAGTCACTTTGAGACGCATGAGGTTTAAAAACGACTCCAAACTCCAACAGCTTCATTTAAAGACGCCGAGAACCAAAAAGGACTGACCACAAACAAAACAACAAAACAACAAAACAACAAAACAACAAAACAACAAAAGAACTGGGCCAGAGTCCAGACGACTGCTTCAGTTATTTCATCACCTGAAACACATGATCATGTGTAACATTTTAGATTTGAAATTCCTCTGTGCAGGTGAAGACTCTGAGGGTCAGAGGTCAGAGGTCAGCGTCAGAGGTCAGCGTCAGAGGTCAGAGGTCAGCGTCAGAGGTCAGAGGTCAGAGGTCAGCGTGGGTGTGATTTAACTTTAGGTTTTGTTGCGTCACGAGTTTAAACTCAAGTTTATTTGAACCTCAAACTGGTTAAAAACTGGTGTCGCTCCAGAGACGTTCACGCGCCTCCGCCTCCGCCCACGTGACCAGAGGAGCTGTTTATGTTCCACACTGTGACGTCACTCTGTGGATCTGTCTGTGGCTCGAGCTCCTCAGTCTCTGTTCAGAAGTTTAATGCCGCATTGTGGAACATTTCAGACAAAAGTATAAATCTGTTTCCATGGAGACGCGTGCGCGTGTGTGCGGACCGTGTGGACACAGGGACGCGCGTGCTCGTCCTGAAAAAAAAGCTCAAACACGCGCGCTCCCGAACCAGAACCTGACCACGTGCACGAGCCCAGAGACTTCTCTGTCCACGCGCCACA